AAATTTATTTTTTATATTATATTTTATTTATATATATATATATATATATATATATATATATATATATATATATATATATATATATATATATCATCATCAAAGAAAGGTAAATACAGTGTTCGAATAAAGGACATAATAATACATTGTGTAGCATAGCTCTCAACGAATGTAGGCCTGTAAATAAATGAATATTTATTTATTCGAACACTGTATTTACCTTTCTTTGATGATTTATATATATAATTTAACAGTGTTAACGGCTATCTTGATTTATATATATACATATATATATATATATATATATATGTATGTATGTATGTATATATAGTAGTAGTAGTAATAGTAGTACTGTCCTAGTATTAGTAGGCCTACAATTACGTGGTACAATAGTATCTACTGTAGACCTACTGAAACCGTTGAAAGCGAACTATTGTAGGAAGATGCAACTGTAAAGCTATCTACTCTCAAATCAAATAGTATATCATAAATACATTTTACTATACCTTTTTTGAACATGATCAACATTATTTCAAACAGATTACTGCAGCATTACCGAGTGTGTATTATGATGTATAGTATTAATGATTAAATCTATGGTAAACGATTATAATTTTTATCAAATGTTTATGGAAATCAAATCCTGTGGTAACAAAGGATCAAAAAGCGTGAGTTAGAATGTGTAGAGGATGGGAGGAGTACGTACCGTTGTCGTCGCTTCCCAAGCGGGTCGCTGCATGGGTCAAGTCGTCAAGCAATACTCAGCACAGCCAGTGCATTTTAGTAGGAAATTACAGCGCAAAATAAGCAAAGCGGGTTAAGATGGCGGTAGGCTGTTGACACGACGACAAATGCTTATTAAAATTCTACTGTACGGCAATACGAGCACTATGAGCGGGAGGAGAAGACGCGATCAGCAACACAGCTTGACTATGGTAATTATGATAATGTAATCACACGTCGCAAGCGCTCTGAAGCACTGGTACCTCACAATATATCGCCCAGGCAACCACATCAATACAATATGCTAGTGAAGCCAGTCCAAGGCTGGCTGCTAATTATGACTAGCATAGCATGCTTTTTCACTACGGTCATGATAACATCACCTCTACTCGCCTCCGCAGCGCTTAATAATAAACAGCCAGTGTGAAGATGAGTTTGGCATACCCACGCCAAGTAGACCAATCTCCAGTGATGAGTGAGGACACACCATTTCTACAGTAGTCTCCCATATGCTGGGTGTGGATGTGCCCTATTGCTACGCAAGGAATACCACGAATAACTCGTCTCCCCAATTGCTGAAAGAGTGCCAACACCATTTTTATATTCAGTAAAATCAACTACTCAACGCCCACTTGTTAATAGCAGATAGAGGATACCAGAAATATCTTATGAAGCTATCTCCATGGATAGCAGATGTTGGCAAAGATATTTTACGTCTCCCTGAGTGATACTGTATTGTATACAATATTTTCTTGTCTGCCAATTAATGATCACAGTGCATTCACCATGTCGCCCGACGTTGTGGAGTGTATTGAGTGATTCATCATAATTTTTAACAACCTCTGGGGTATGAGTGAGAATACATGTATTTGCTCATGGTGGAGATACTGTGGCCAGTGGCGGATTCAAGTGGGCAGCCCCCCCCCCCCTCTTTTTTTATTATAAAAACAAATTGGAGAAAAAAGAAAAATATATTCAAATTGAAGTGTGAGAGTGCCATTCCAGCCATCTACTAGAGTTGTAGAGGGTTGCCATAATCATAAATGTCCTTAACCCAATCCCCAACCATGGTGGGCTGAGGCGGTATTGACCCGGTTTCTGTGAAAGTCCTTCCTTGTGCCGCCTTTCGAATTCCTGGATCCGCACTGGTGACCAGTAAAGTAGCCTGCTTTGATGATGAAGAATATGCCTACACCATGCACTGTCGATCATCTGCATTTATCTGACACCATCACTCCTACCGTTTCCCAAGTAATGAGTATCTATAGAATGTCAGAAAAAAAATGGAGATCTAACAAATGTTTAAAAAGGGTCAGCTTGATCGCTAGTCATAGGTTTGCTATTCACAAGGTTCGCTAGTACCCTATACCAGAAGTTCGCTATAGTCATAATCAAGAAAAAGTTGCGCTGTTCATAATAAATATTGCCGCTGTTTGTATCACTAGTCATAATCAAGAAAGCGGCTACTGGAAAACCGAAAAGGACCACAGTTCATATGTAGGATAGCCAAGAAAAGGGTTCGCAACAAATAACTGCTATTCATAAGTTTGCTAGTTATAATTTTTAAAGAGCATGCTGCACATGGCTAGTCATAATTAATCAAAAAATAACATAGATTCGGTACAATTACTTTAAAGCTTCTAGTAACACTGGTTTGATATTCTTTTATTTTTTTAGGTGGGTTACTATTGGGGGACAGGAGAATTGCTACAATATTTTAAAGATAATAGCCGACGGAAGCATTTTTGAATGACAAGGTACAAAGAAAATCATGAATAGGCATTGTTAGTTGGACATGCCCAATTAAATTCTCAAGAATTCTTTTTGGATTTTTAAGACTGTCAGATACTTTTATAAAAAGTGGAAGTAAGGAAAAATTTCACCAAGGAGTGAATAGAGTACAAGAAAAAATGATCAGCGACGCAATCACATTGTGAAGAATCGCCTATTTCAAAGAATGCATTAAGTCGTGTTAAAGCGACAAATGTTGATTTGAATGTGATTTTGTCTATAAATTTTTACTTTAATCTTACTATTAGAGTAGAAGTTATTATTATAGATGAACTTCTAGGGTGGACTACTAATATAGGGGGTTACTAATACAGTAATTATATCATGGAGGTATTAATATTAGCAGTTTTGCGTTAGGCCTATAACCCTGGTCCTTAATAGTTTGGCCCTCGAAGCAAATTAGTCTGGCCCTCGAAAAAAAAATAAAATTACAAAAAAACAATGAATGAAACTAAAAGTAATAACCATTCGATGAATATCTTTTTTTCAATAAAGTAAAGGCCAAAACACAACACTGGACCACACCAATAAGCCCTATCTAAAATTATATCCGTTAGCAACCAATCGACTACGATGATGATAATTAATGTCGAAATATTGAATCCTGACACGATGGCGTGCATTTCGATACTTGGAGTATTATACTATCTTATCTAAGATTGGTAGTCTTAGTTTAGAATAATATGACATAGCAGATTAAAAATAAAAATCATCTCTTGTTTTTGTTATGAGTAGACCCGAGATTTTACAGGCGAAGTGTTTTTAGGCTTTAGCCCTGGTATTTTGATAGACATAGGACGGGTGAGAAAAAGGCCTACCGATTGTGTGCTAAACTATTAAGTAGAACAAACTTTGCATGACTGACAAAAAAAAAGTTTTGGCTCAGAGGATTAGTCCTACCAGGGAGTTGTTGTATAGACGCCCTAGCAGGTAGGCCCCAAGTGTATACAGCATAGGCGTAAACGTGGAGGTCTTCCGTGAAAAGCAAACATAAGAGTCAAGGTCAATATGATAGTGTGATGGCCCTTCCTAATTGTTAGTATTTTGTATATAATTTTACGTTACTCAGTATATTATTGATCTTTGATAATAGTTTGTTACCACTGATATCCAGTAATGACTAGGCTATAGAAACATGTCAAGATTTGTGTGTGGTATAGTAAATCTACAGTAGGTTGTCATAGCAACCGGTGACCACTTTAGGAATTTTAAGGAGCCATCCAAGATGAGGATGACTCATACGAGGGGTCAAGATAATTTTGGAGGGAAAGTTCGAATGTGGTTTGGCGGGAAGAAATTGACCAATAAGAGGCAGATTTTCCTAAGCCAGTGAAGCCCTAATTTGCATATCCAAGGTACAAATTGGGGTACAAAATTATATTTAGGGAGTCTTAATCCATCTGAAGGGCTGCCATGAGAACTGTTAGCTTTCTCCATCTTCTTTGCTTGAATTACAGATATGTGTGGTAAGTCTCACTTTCATTATGCTGTCTTGACCACTACCACTGATTATCTTCGTTTTACTGTACGTACATATGTTTTAACTTTGACTAATGTAAATATATTTGTATATAACTGTACATCTGTTGCCATGATCTCTTTCTGTTGCTATCAAATGTTTTAGCCAGGCATTTGTCGTAACAATAGTAAAAAAATATCTATATTCTTTTTAGAAAAATAAAAACAAAATTCAGGAAACGATACTTTTCACACAGTTACACTTGCATAATGAACTGAAGACATGACAAGTTCTATTACCAGTCACCGACAATATATAAACCACTTAAAATTAAACTTAAAACCGTCAATTTCAAACAAACTTTAAATTTTGCGAGAATTAAAACTAAGTGGTGGTGTTGGTTGCGGAGGCAGAATTCCTATCAGAGAGAGCTCTCTCGTAGTACTCAACACATTCGTTAGGGAAAATGATATGTAACTTTTACACAATATAAGGCTGTAAGATAGATTACGGGCCTTAAACATTCAAAATCACTAAGTTGTTAGCGCTGCCGGGCTTCTGCCGGGCCACCTTCATAGGTACTGAGACATCGCCCCTCCCCTGCCGTTGGGCAAATATTGGCGCCACCAATTTTGTTTTGTGATAATTTTATACAAGCAAGAAATAAATGATCATCAATGAGCAATAAATAGTGAAAATGAAGTGTCTTAATTCTTCTTTTGTCAAATTATTAAATCAATCTTTTGGTGCAGATATCTATTATTATTATAATTATGCTTATTTCAAAGCCTACAATCACAGTGATGTACCCCAGTACGTCAGATTATGGGATACAAAACCTACCTGTAACAACAAAGATCATCGAAGTCTCAATCCCACGAAGTGAATATAATCACAATTTCAGCTTAATTGAACTCTACTGTTATAGATTGCATCGTTAGCTGCTTTGACCACGTCGCGTTGTTTGCGCAGTCACGCATTTAGATTTTACGGGTTTCACTTACTAAAGGCCATGACAAAAATAAGTTGTTGTTTGTACGTGTACAAACACTGATTAAACACTACACTGGAAGATCCGTTGAAGTTTAAGTGTGGTGTTCACTTCCATGGAGGATTTCACGACTTGGCATGTAAGGGGTGGTTTCATTAAATATTTTTAAAAATAAATAAATAAACTCCCTGCCTACCATCAACAACTCTTCTTTTACATGGCCTAATTGAATCAGTGTCAACAACTTTGAACTTTTCGACGTGGTTAGCTGTCCCTCTCATAATTCATCACTTTGTGACAGCAAGGCTCAGACCTTATGACCTCGAGCCCATGGAGTACCGTATATAAATATTGTAATCGCCTTGCTTCATTTATCCTACATAAACATATATCTTTTTTCATTTTTTTTAATTATTATTTTATATCACATTTACAAAACATGCAGACAAAATAAAGACTAAAAGAAAGTAAGTTATATCCATATAAACTAAACGGTAACGCTTAAACCAAAAGAACATATTTGAAAAATAACACTGTAACAATTTAAAGTAAATTAACAAATTTTGACCATTCTGCGTCGAAAATTAATTGCTTTTCTTTCTGTATAGCCACGTATCTTACAACAGTTAAATATTTTTTAAGGTACAGACTTAGTGCTCTGATATTTGGAATCGTTTTTCCTACTGTGCATTTATAAATTAAGTATTCTGTAACAATAATAATATTATTTACCGAAATATCACAGAATAAAATAGACTTTAAAGTGAAAGATGTTTTCTCTAAACGCTTTTGATACTTTCTGTTCAATGTTTATCCATATTGGTTGAACGTATTTACAGTTAAAGAACAAATGAGGAATCGTTTCAGGTACGATATGACAAAAAGTACATTTCTCATCCCGAGATATTCCAATTTTACATAAAAATAAATTTGTTATAAAAATGCTTACATCCCTTAGAGGTTTTAACAAGTATATTGATATGAAATGGAATTATTGATGCGCATTATTTTGTGGATTGAGTGGATATTAAATATCTTTTTGACATAAACATACATCTTACCATAACACATATGACTATTAAAGTTAAGCATAGACTTGGTAAATGCATAACGTTCGCTACTACATAAGTTGTCTAAGAGAAATACGGTAACCTGGACGTTAACCCAGCTAGCAAAGCGACGTTGGCCCAACGTTGGTAAACGTTGGCAAGTGTCGGGGTCGGATATCTGACGTTGGTACGACGTTGGTGTTTGGTT